TGCAGCACTTTCTAGGGGCGTTGTGTTAGACATAGTTTGTCCATGTTTTTAGAGTGCAAAAAGCGCTGGCGTGCTGAAAAACCCAACACGCAAAATCAACCACACTGCGGAACACCCCCATAACCTTATGCGAACGTCACGCGGCTCGAGAGCTACCCATAAGAAGTGACCTAGTATGTATATGGGCAGGGGTCTGAGGAAACTAACGTCGAACTAACAATCACTCTCTTTTCGAGCCCGACTTCGTGAGTTGTACCCTGCCTTCTTTATGGACTGCATAAGGAACACTCTTGCAGGACATGTTCTGCAGTTTGCACACACAACCTACAAGAAAATGATGAACTACTCACACGTCATTAAGACTCTATGTCAATGGCGTCTGTTATAGGCAGACCTGGCATACGTTTTATTATATTATTATTTTAAAGGGTTCCCCGAATGTGTTCCGGGGCTCATGATCAATCATGTCGTACAAGGCGACTAATTAGGGGTGTTTGCTTCGAAGTTGGAGTGAATCTGCCTGACAGGAGAGGAAACAATTTTACATACACATAATCTAGATCCGTAAAACGGATGTGCACGCAAAACTCAAGTTCTGGAACCAGACTTAAGCGCAGAAGGGTCACAAATGATGATAGTAATAAACTCTGCCTCAAACCTATTGTTTGACTGGTACACTTTCTGGCCACAATGTGCTTCTAGTCTCATGTCCCTCGAAATGGGAAAATAAATGAAGAAGAAGAAGAAGAAGAAAGAGAAGAAGAAGAAGAGGAAGAAGAAGAAGAAGAAGAAGAAGAATAAGAAGAAGAAGAAGAAGAAGAAGAAGCAGAAGAAGAAGGTTTTCTGTTAACCTTAGTAGATTATCGTTTCAAATTCTGTATATTTTTGTCCCTCACAGATTCCACTGGATGGTAGGAATCATATCGACGATTTTACAACTCAGCGTCTTGGGCTCGTCTAGTAGATTTTCTTACTGTGGTGAGGTTTTCCAAGATGACACTAAGTTTGTAACAGACAGCAATACAAGTTTCAAAGATAACACCGACGGAACACTCATCAGATCATGATTCAACAGAAAAGGCACATTTGGAATTTGGCGTGACAGCGTTCAGTGTGAATGGAAGCTAAGGTGACAAGTGATTCAGAAAACGGCTACGTCAGGCACCGTTCATGAACTACTTGTGAACATTGCCTGGTCTGATAAGGGTACACACTACAGTGGGAACAAACGGTACGTGGCGCTAGCCTAGGTTGGCAGGTTGTTTGTTTGTTGTGACTGGTTGGTGTATCACTGGCGACTGCGTCGCGCAATGGCTCGCCAGAAGAGGACTTCGTCGCCGGTCGGGACAGTATTTGCGTCTGTCTCCTTTGATCGTCGGCTCTGTGGCTAAGTCGATGCGAACGCTTCGTAATGCCGGGGTTCGACCCCAGCTGCGGGCCATACGCCTTGCGTTGGTTTCGACAGTGATATCAGTGAGCTGACCGTCCAGAAGCAATGGCAAACTACTGGACGTAAATTTGCCTAGTAAGACCACACAACAGCCAGGGGCTAATGGGGTTGGTTCTGCAACGTCCTGTAAAGGATACGCAACAAACCATTGAACCTCCTTTGATCACATCAACACTGCAGGAGTAATTTCTCAGGCCTTTTGGTGGCATGCAATGCTAGGCTATTTTATATGGCGCACATAATCTAGTCACAATTATAACCTAAAGCTCCCCCTTCAGGGATGCTGATTGAAGATGACGGATGGTGGTTGGTATTTAGCAGTGCCATCTTAACACGTAGGAGTCGTGGCACTAGGACAAGGGCCCGCGAGCACTGGGGCCTTATACTAGTCTGTGTGTATTAAACTACTTGTCTTTAAAAAGAAACAAATCATTACTGTGAGATGTTGTTGGCGGAGTGAGAGAGAAGGAGAGAGAGAGAAGGAGAGAGATAGATAAAGAGAGAGGGAGAGACAGACAGACAGGAAGACAGAGAGACAGAGACAGACAGACAGACAGACAGACAGACAGACAGACAGACAGACAGACAGACAGACAGACAGACAGACAGACAGACAGACAGACAGACAGACAGACAGACAGACAGACAGACAGACAGACAGACAGACAGACAGACAGACAGACAGACAGACAGACAGACAGACAGACAGAGTGAGAACATTGAAACATAACTGTATAAAAATAGAGAGTGAATGAGAACAAAAATGAAACGAAGCAAGAAAAACAAAGAAGTACATATAGAGAGAATCAGAGATGAATACAGCGTAAAGAGAGTAAGCGAGCGAGCGAGCGAGAGAGAGAGAGAGAGAGAGAGAGAGAGAGAGAGAGATAGAGAGAGAGAAACCCCGAAACATTCACACATACTCGCACTCAGACGCGCACGTACACACACATACACTCATACACACACATACACACACATATAGACACGTTCATATATTCACAAGCATACAAACACATATAAATTTATCGAGCAAATGTCTGAGACAATTGAACATAAAATGGGATACATTCAAGAGGAGTGAAGAAACAAGAGAAATGTTTGGACAACCACTAGAAGCAACATACGCTGGCGTTATACTGGACACACCATGAGAAAAAATGAGCAGAGAATCAACAAACAGACACTAAAATGTGAAATAAAACGATTGAGGAAGCAACAATGACTAAAGGAAACCCTTAATCGAAACAGAGAAGCCAAAGTTGCTCGACTGGATTCTATCGATGATGCTGAGCTGATTGCACGCGGTAGAACGGAATGGAGGAATAGACTATGAGCCTTATGTGACAGGTAATGACACAACCGGATGGCACTGATGATCATGTACCAAGAGGGAATGGAGAAAGGAGATACATACAGGAAGGGATTCAAACTTTGTGTGTGTGTGAATATGTTCTGCAAAAGCACAAAACAAATGTATCATCAAAATGTAGTCACCACTGAGTTCACTGGAAGTCCTCTCGACTCACGACACTCAGAGGAAAGGAAAGACGGACATATAACCAGATTTTGACCGGTACCCTTAGTACGGGAACTCTGTGCTGGTTGCTGAAGATGAGGATGGAGCATGCATGGGAATGCCCCGAGTGCTGTGATGTCAATTCTTGACTCAACTCAACTGGAAGTCATCTAGCTGCGATACAATGCTAGGATTCCTGTAGAGAACATTTCTCTTGGTTGCACCACCTGTTGTACTTCTTCATCGGACCAAGAAGCTTTCCTCCCGATGACTCTGAGTTGTCCAAGCAGGTGAACATCACTTGGGGCTGGATCTGGTGAGTACAGAGGATGTAGTAGTCAATGAAAATGGATATCTTTGATAGTTTCAGCAGTTGTACGGGCAGTATGGGGTCGAAAATTGTCATAGTGCAAAGCCCGACGGCCATGTCGTTTGGATTTGATAATAGGTGGAAGATGATTTCTGAGAAGATCTATGATTCCTGAGAAGATCTGTGATTCATGAGAAGATCTATGATTCCTGAGAAGATCTGTGATTCATGAGAAGTTCTATGATTCCTGAGAAGATCTGTGATTCATGAGAAGATCTGCGATTACAGGTGGAAGATGATTCCTGAGAAGATCTGTGATTCCTGAGAAGATCTGTGATTCTTTATTAGATCTATGATTCCTGAGAAGATCTGTGATTCATGAGAAGATCTATGATTCCTGAGAAGATCTGTGATTCATGAGAAGATCTGTGATTACAGGTGGACGATGATTTCCGAGAAGATCTATGATTCCTGAGAAGATCTGTGATTCATTAGAAGATCTGTGATTCCTGAGAAGATCTGTGATTCTTTATTAGATCTATGATTCCTGAGAAGATCTGTGATTCATGAGAAGATCTATGATTCCTGAGAAGATCTGTGATTCATGAGAAGATCTGTGATTACAGGTGGACGATGATTCCCGAGAAGATCTATGATTCCTGAGAAGATCTGTGATTCATTAGAAGATCTGTGATTCCTGAGAAGATCTGTGATTCTTTATTAGATCTATGATTCCTGAGAAGATCTGTGATTCCTAAGAAGATTTTTGATTACGTGTTGAAGATGATTCACGAGATCTTTGATTACGGCTGGATAATCATTTATGAGAAGATGGTTCGTGAGAAGATCTTCGATTACAGGTGGAAGATGCTTCCTGAGAAGATCTTTGATTCCTGAGAAAATTTTTATTACTGGTCAAAGATGATTCCTGATAAGATCTTTGATTACAGGTGGAAGATAAATCCTGAGAAGATGCATGTACGTATCACTAGTTACAGTTTTCCCTCGATTATTAAATGCTGGATAGTATGGTAGAGCCGAGAGTGACTGCTGGGGTCTTGTAAGTCACACTCCCTGTGGTTATGGGTTGTGAGTCCCAATCCTCCTGATAGCACATTAAAACACTTCAGTCTGGAAAGACGGAAAGATGCCAATCACCCAGACATATTCTACATGCCTGATTGTGTGGGAAAAAGGTCCTTTCATCCCAAAACGGTCAGCATAAACTTCTCTGTGGATGACTGAGTAATCTTTGTGTGAAGATCCCTTTTCACGCCAGGCGTATCGGGCATATGGGAAGAGCACCCATATTTTTTCAGACCAGTCGACACTAAGTGGGTAATGTGGTCAGCATTACGCCGGCTGTCTTTACTTCCCCAGGACAGACATCCTGATACCAATTTTAGGCTGGGTCGACATGCGACGCCCCATACCATTTTACAAATTTACACAGCCAGCAGCGGGTTTCGATCGCGGTACGTTGGAATTACGAGTCGGACTCGCAAGGCCTAAGACACGGTCGCATCTAAAACAGGGTAATCTAATTTTATTGTTAGTTTAAAATACATTTCAGTATATCTGTTGATTTTACTGTTATTATTATTATCATTATTTTTATTCCCCGTTGGCAGCTACTTCTGTGAAGGCTGAAATCACCAGACATTGACCCAGTCTGCAGCTGTGATCTCATTCAATCCTTCATCTTCACCAGCAGAGACAACATGCCATCGACCACGTCGTCGACCGAGCTGCCCCCAAACACAATCCGAGTGAAGCTGGTCAAGCAGCGGCATGGCGGACTGGGCTTCCTGGTCAAACAGAGGGCACTCAAGCCATTCGTTCTAGTGGCCAGTATAGTCAAGGGAGGCGTGGCCGAGGAGAGCGGGCTTGTGCAG